TTTAAATTAACATTTATTTTTTATATAAATTAATTATAAAAATATATTAATTACACAAAGAAAAAACCTTTTGTTTTCTGTAGTTTGTTAAAATTGATTTTGATATCACAGAAAAAAACAATAATAAAAGAGCAACTTGGATGCATGTTGCGTATTACTGTATATTATGATAGTACTTTCAGTATTTATGTTTAAGAGTTTTGACGTTGCTTGATGAAATTTAATTATTTCTCATTATTTAACTTAATTTATTTATATATTATGAAATTTGAATTTAAAATCTCTTACATTAATTGAAAAAAATTATTGTCAAATTATTAAAATTTTTTTTAACAAACCATTTAGATTGTTAATAAAATTTAAAAGAGTTTTAGAAAGTACAAAAACAGAGTCAATGCGGGGTTTTGACTTTCAAATTCAAAACACAAAACATTTAAGTATGGAGAGTAAACGGAGAATTGTCTCTCCTCGCAAGGACCATTCCAGCTAGGGCAGAACGAACTGTCATTAACCCCTGTATAATCATTAAAGATATATATACATCTCAGAAAAAAAAAAAGACTCCTTGATAATGTACCATCTCATCTGATATTATATCTATCATAAACAAAAATCGAATTGTAACATTTCCATTTCTTTGCTTTCCCCATCTTTCCTTTTTCTGTAATCTTGCTTTTGCCAAGAACTAGAGTCACATACAGATATATCAGAGGGCCATATGGCTTGCTTACATTCAGATTGTGAAATGAGCCACCAAAAATAAAACTATAAAATCCAGATCTTTCAAGGGAGGCCTTGCAATTTGCACTGTAGTTCATTTCCCAGTAGCAGACAGCAGGAGTCCTTATCCTCTTGACTGTTTGTATACAAATATGTAATAAAACTAATTGTTAATTTCTTCCACCAAATTGATTTCTATTAGGGAGAGACAATGAAGAAAGGTATGAATTGATCAATTTCACACAAATTTAGAAGTAACAGACTACAATAGTACTCACATGATGAAAAGGAAGATCATATACAGAGTGCACCCATGTCAGGTGGCCCTCCAGATCCAGAGGATGCTATAGAATCAGCAGATCCTCCCTTCTTGCCTTGTTTTCTTTCCTTTCTTCCCTTTCTGGAATCAACTGTTTGGTTACTGGAAACAAATTTGTGAAATTAGAAAATGAAGAGATCTCGAGTTTTTAAGCAACTTTGAGAAAAGTCAATGGCAAACCACCAAGCGTAGATCTCAGTGACTTGCTGATAAAATGAAAAAAATGTGAGTTCCTTAATAGGAATCAGGAGAGACATGCCATACAAAGCTCTGGTTGACACCACTACTAAACAGAAGGAATGCCGCACAGGGATTCTGTTTCACTTCATGTTCTGAAAAAGGGTGCCTTTCTTACCAATGTTATTAGTGGGCAGAACCAGACAGGAGTTAAACTCGTGCTATGAAATTAGTATAAATTGACTTTGATTTTGAACAGAAAAAATAGGCAGGTAAGTAGAAACAAAGTTCAAGTAGTATACATAAGAAATTTGACTGAGGATCTCCCTGAGACTGCTCCACAACAAGCTTTGTACTTCTTCTTTGATCCACATGGGCAGACTTTGTTTCTTGAGATCTTCTGTTAATGGAAGGAAAAGGGAAAATATAAATAAAACCCATCATTCCATACCAACTCCATTTCAGTAAAAAATTTAAAAAAAAAAATGTTTTCTCTTTTTTGTTATAACAGGAAACCTTAGCATCTGGTCTTGAGTCAGAGGCTCCTTCGGTACTATTGCTAAATAGATCATCTTTGCTTTTCTCCCTTACAGGCTCTTCCTTGTGTTTTCCAGACCTTTCATTTACATCATCATCTGGATTGCATATCTTATTGTTAGATTGAGTACTATAAATGTGAAATATGCAGTCTTTTCAAACACCATAAGCAGACAAAAATGGATGCAAATGCCAGGGACACATCAACTAACAGGACCCAGATAACAAAGCATGCAACGCCAGTTATTAACATTAGTGTCATTCTTCTACTAGCCTTTTCTGTTAGTCCCCTTTCAACTGAGAAAATATCTTTCCATTAGTGTCAATCCAAACCCTTAAAAAATATTGCATTTTAACTTCTACCCCTCCTCAATATCTTAAGATGGAACAACACCAGTTATTATACTTGGGGAATCTTTTCCTGAAAAAAACTCTATTTGCAAGCAAATGGGTTAAAACGTTACATCCATGTATGCTAATCTTATCAAGAACCATCTTCAACACCTAATCAAGAAAGTAGGTTAAACATTAGAGAAGGATGGGGAATTTTCTAAAAACCAAAGCTGCAAGAAAATAATTAACAAAGTAAGCCCATATAAATATTTAGAATCTGCAAATGTACCAACCAGCCATTACCATAAGCATTGGTATTGCAAGAAAGAGAATCATTTTCGACAGCTCCTTCTTCCGTTTCTCGTTCTGCTACCAGAAACTCTATTGCAGCATCAGCATCACCATGTACTTGCAATAAAACCTGGAAGGGGATCAACATGAGACAAAGTGAAGGTGAAGGGAAAAGAATTTAATTCAATCATATTACATGCACTTTGGCAGGCATCTCCAAGGCATCATAACTTATATAAAGCAAAAAAATGCAAAGAAAAGAAAAGATCCAAGGACTCAATCCTCACCTGTTCAACCTTTTCAGCATTTTCACAACCACTTCCAGCCATTACCAATTTAATGGATCCCTGATTGATACTGCCATCACAAGCTTCCCCTTTAGACTTGGTAACCCCAGCTTTTGCTTGATTAGATGATGCAGAAAGATCAGCATCAGCCTTTGACAAACTAGAAGTTATTAGGCTTTGTTACAAATCTAAATGTTCAAACAAGCTAACAAAATTACAGTTGTCACAAGAGTTGTCACCAAAAGGAAAAGCGTTTCAAGCAGAAACCTTTATTATAATTGGCCTTGCTGGTCCACTACAAGTATCCTCCTTTAATCTCACACTATTATAATGTTCTCCATCATGATATGATCTGAAAAACTTGGAAATCAGACTGAAGAAAGATATAACTTCAACAATAAAGCTAGAAGGCAAAAATTAATGCATAAGAACAATATCAACAAATAAATAGAAACTAGAGACCAAGGAGCAGAAGAAATTATGTTTTGTTGATGTGGCCATGAATCGGTTATGGTGACACTATTATATGTACTGCACAAATACACAAAAGCAATGAGAGTCCAGATGACTACAGATTGGCTACATCCTACAAAATCACTATTAATGTGAGAATATGTAATAGGAAAAGAATTTTATCCCTCCCTCCTTATAATCAGAAAGTATGCAAGATGAATGAATAGTTAAAACAAGACCAATTTTCCGAAAACTCACAAATGCACCATTTGAGTTCTGCAGCTATCAAAATTCTTTATGTACCAGCGAGGTGTCATGTTCTGAATCAAGTTAAAGCATTAAACATATGAGCACTATCTAAAGAAAGATCTACTTTGATATCAACAGAAGCAGAAAAGAAGAGATGAAAGGACTAGGTCTTACTCGGTGTATGCATATATTACTCTGAGTAACAAGGGAAGCAGCTTGCAGCTCCATATGTCCGGCCCAATAGCCATCCTTTCCCATGGACTGGCAGTATTCATCAAATGGGACATCATCTTCAATAAAGGGCTCAAACGTTTCACGATTACTCTGTCAATATCAGTTCCTTTATCAGATTTGTTTAGAAGTTGTATCATTAGATAAGAAAGAGAAGATGGTATGGCATTGGAGAAGGAAGAGAAAGGAAGACATCATAATCATCCAACCATCCTAGAAGGCAACAAAATTCAACATGAAGTATCAATAAACTGAGATGTGAATATAACATGAGCAAAGAGAAACTTATTAGAAGTTTCCTTTTCATATATTGGGTAGGATGTTCTACATGCATCTGATAAACAAAATTTCCAACTTCTGTAAAAAAATTATCAGTAGCTCTTCATTTCAATAAAAAGTTAAATTATGACATTTGAGTATGGAAAAGGGGCCAAAGACAAAGGAGGCTCACAGCTTCTACTCATTTTCATAAAGCCAAAAGTAAGAGATTCAATTATTGCAAGATTAAAAGCAGCAGATTTGAGGAGCTGCTTGACAATAGGAAGAGCAAAAATGGGCATGAAAAGGAAATAACAAGACTGCCAACTGAAGTTTGAAGATATGAGTAAAATGTGGTGAATGTAGCAAGAAGTGAAAACTCTATATTGCATAGATTGACTCAAAAAGGCTAACTTGTGTCTCTAGCCAAAAGGGAAACCTTGACTTATAAACCCAGCATGCCTTCAAGAAATGGTCAGAGTCAAAAGAATCTACTCCACATTCTTCTATAAAATGGAGTTATTAACATCTTTAAAGGGATAAATGGAGATGATTAATTCATTTCTTGGCTTCAATATGAAAAGATTTGTTCTTAAATTGAAATGCACTCTTACAAAATCTAATATCAGATCATGTATAAAGAGAATGTTTTTAAATACTACTATTCAATTTACCACAATATATTGGACCACCATACTCCGGTATTTTCCATGTTCATCCTCATTACCTTCCAATTGATCTGCAAGGGCCCTGTAAACCAAAAACAGTAAATAATAAAGATCATTAAAAGGCTATTATAAGCATCTGATGCAAATACAATGATATCTCAAAAATAATAGAGATGCTACAATGTTTATCGTGTGAGAAAAAATAAACCCAACACAAACCTGAAGAAGCAATTACCATCTGCAGTCACCTGGATAATCTTTAGGCCCAATGTATCCAGCTGAGCACGGAGCTGTGAAATATCCTCCTGTTTTCCCTGCTTTTTTATCTGTCCACCAAACAGAATTCTTCTATGATAATTTTGCAGGATGAAGAAGCAACCAACCAAACAGAATTCTTCATTAAAGTTTCGATCAGATATATATAAGTTTCATAGATAAAACCAGATCCTTAAAAACTCACTCATCCATGTAACCCAGATGCCCACTGCAGCCAAATTTTGTTATAAGAAACTCAATCTACAACCCGTGATGCCTCCAGAACTTTCTCAGCAAGGTTATCTAAAGCATGTATTTTTTTTTTTTTGCCCCAGAAAACATAAACCTATCTTAAGAAAAGAAATTAGATGCATCTAATCACACTGATATCCCCAACTATGCATGAATCAAAGTGCAAACTTTCCCGAGAAATCACCTCAAAATAAATTATGCAATCTCAAAGCAAGTAAATAGACAGCATCCCTTTCTTTTTTTTCTTTTCTTTGTAAAAGTATGATGAAATTATGCATACATTAAATGCAATAACATCATATTGAACATAAACTATGGAGAGTTTTAAACATGGTGAAGAAACAATGCATTGAAGGCAAAGGAATACAGGATTATGCCCAGAATTGGATTGAAAACGAAATCATTGACATAATACTGGGTTTGGATTAACCTATTGATAAAATTACAGCAATGAAACAGAAAAGAAGGAAGACAAGGGAGGACAGTATAGAAATTTACGTGGGTCTGTTTCTTGGATTTGGACTTTTGCTGTTTGGTTTTTACCATCTTTAGAAGATTACTTCAATGGCTGCTGGGGAAGAGAAAGCAAGAGAGAGCTTGATGCCGCCGGTATTTCGTCGGAGCTCAAGGCAAGAAGACTTTTGCGGCGACTCGGACTTGTAGGCTTGGTTCGTTCCGTGGTTTATAACGGTAAAGCCCAGGGACTTATCCTAATGTATGTCGCTTTTTGGGCAGGAGTCATGGAGTTGTTGTTTGGGCCCTTTGGACTTGAGCAAAAATTATCAGTTAGACATTGGGGGGCTTTTTAGTGAAAGAGGATTTCAAAGAACGGGCTCTTTTCTTTTGGGCTATATTGTTTGAGACCCAAAATTGGAATTTTCAATCCAGTCCAAAATAAACCAATGCGATCTTCATTAAAAAAAAAAAATTTCAACGACATCAAAACGGTTACGGAGAACTTCTCTCCTGCAAGCAAAATCTCCACAACCTAGAGAATGAGAGGCAAAACCTATCTTGAACCCCTTACCTTAGTCAGTTTGAAGTAGTCAGTTAGAAGGTTTTAACTATTCATCTTATATTATGATATTTTTAATTCTTTACCTTATTAAATTTATAAGTTTTAACCCTTAACTTATTAAAATTGAAGAAAATAACATTCACTATATATTGATTGTTAACTTTATTAATTAAAAATAGATTTTTGTTCACTAACAATCAACTAATAGTCAATTAACAGAATTAACAAAAAATTATAAAATTAGTTTTGTTAACTCTGTTAGTTAAAAAAAAAATTTTGTAAGATAAAAGTCAACTAACAGTTAGTTAATAGAATTAATAGTCAGCTAATAAAATTAATAAAATATTATAAAATGAGGGTTATTTTTTTCAATTTTAATAGGTGAAGAGTTAAAAATATTATAATATAAAATGAAAGACTAAAATCTTCAAATTTAATAAGATAAAAAACTAAAAGTAAACATTTGCCGTCAAAATTCCTGCACCTAGAACTTGAGGTAGCATCCACGGCTAAACTAGTATAATTTAATAGATTAGGGAGGAGTTCAAATTCTAAAATTAGTATTTTAAAAAATTAATTTTTTAAATGTATTAAATTGATGTGAGATGCGCAATTCATATATTTTTTTAAAAGATATAGTGAATTTTTATTTGGATTGGAGTAGTTGAGGGGGAAGGGGAGGAGAATAAAAGAAAATTTTCTCTTCCCTCTTGTTTAAATAAAGTTACAATAAGAAGGGGACAAAGGGGGAGGTAGACGGAGGGAGAATATGCTTTTTTAAATCTTTTATTTTTAATTCTTCCAATTTAGAGGAATTTAGAGAGATTTGATTTATTTTTATTTTATTTTTTTACTTTAAAAAATATAATTAAAATTTATATTTTGGCTTTAATTTTGATATATAAATTTATAAAATTTTAATTAATTTTATAATTATTTTTTAAATTTATTTAATTAAATAAAAAAAAATATATAATTTTTCTCTCTTTCCTTTTTTTTTTTAATCTATCCAAACAAAATTAATATTAATCTTTTACTCTCCTTCCTTTTCCTTCTCTTCCTTTCTTCTTTCTTTTCTTCACTTTTTTTTACTAATTTTTATCCAAATATATCTTTATTAAAGGGAGAAAAAAAGAGTAGACGAAGGAGATGTTTTCAAGTTTCAAATTATGATTTATGAAATTTATTCATGATTTAGGTTTAACCCCCATAGAGATCTTAATTTTAGTTCTTTTAACTTGGTTGTTTTTAGGGTAACGTTTTTGCCTCTGACATACGATATAAAATAAAATTAATTTTACGTCATCCATCTCTCTCATCCACCTTCTACCTTCTTCAGCCTTTCCCACAATTGCCTTCCTCAGCTGTTTTGCCTAGCAAGCATCGACCCAACCATTTCTTAATTTATTTTGATTTGAATTTTATAAAGGAATTGTCTCCGTCAGTCTTAGACTCATAAAATTAACAAACCTATCTAAAATGGTGTCCTTAGCCATTGGAGAAGGAAGCAAAATCAGAAGCTTTGATTAGTTCCCTTTTGGTAATTAGCCGTTAGCCTTATTTAATTTCCTTTTCTTTTTGTATTTTTCCATTGCTTAGGATTAGACTAATTCTCAGCCTTATCATTAGCAGCCGCCTTGCGAAAAGTTAAACGCCTTAATTCGTTGACATTCGATAGGAGCTTGCATACTGAATTTTTTCTGACTTCTTCAATTACGTTATTGATTCAGCATATAAGCCGCCCACCAAGCACCGTTCGACAAGTCATTGCCACTACCCGCCGTTCGCACCAGCTCCTTCTCTGATATTGACAATGGTCGTCGTTTTTGCCCGTAACGTTGGATTTATATAAAGTGGTTTGGTTTGATTGAATAAAGAGAAGTTTGCAATGACATTTGGCACTTGTGGCTCAATGGTTAGTGATATTAAAAAAGTGTGTATCCCTCTCTTTTAGGTGGGTTTCAAACTCGTCCATGATAAATAATTAAAAAAAAAGGAGAAGTTTGCAATGTATCAACTTTATATTTGTGTATATATATATATATAATTTATTTTTTTGAACGCATGGCAAAACTTTCTCATTTAAGTAAATTTTTTTGTTATTTTCTTATATATATTATTAATAATAAATGTGGTGAGCTACTAAGTCAATAATTTATTTTAAAAAAAAACCCAAAGTCAAATATTTCGGCAAAGGTTAATTAATGCCAATTTTGACTATAATATTCTTAATTAAGTGCTTTTTTTTTTTTTTGGCCCTAATTGTTTTCTACATTTAGGTTGTACTTTTTGTTAACTTGAAGAACACTAGTAAAAATAACATGACGAAAATTATTTGATCAGGATGAAATGGGGGAGCGAAATGGAATGTATTGGATGCCATTTCCGATCTTCATCTATGCTACATGCGCATGTGCTGGAAAAAGGCCATTTCCATTTCGTCTGTACTATTAATCAAAACATCATTACTTGTCTCATCCTCTTTTCGCTCTCCTATCTTGCTTGCTCTGAATAGATTTACGATTTAATTCCACCAATTAAGGTTTAAATTTATCAAATAGTTAGGGTTCATTTTTTTTTTTAATATTAAAAACTACAATCATTATATTTGCGTCGGTAGGATTGGGGTTGAAATGATATGGTCCATGAACTCAATTGTAATTATTGTTATTCTTGGTTTTAATGATTTGAAATTCAGATGTGAATTGAAATATTTATTTGATTTACTAGTGAATTAGGATACATTATTGATTTGTATTGAAAGTTGATTTACTTCTGAATATATGATTTATTATTAGTAATATTGAATTAATTTTTAAATATTAAGTTTTGAATATGTTTCTTTTTTGGTGAAAGTTCATTTAATTGCATAATTATACTTCCTTGTTGTAAAGAGTCAAAAATAAAAAAGATGTATTATGTAGTTGAGGTTCCAACCCTTGGGATAGGGTTTGGAACCCTTGATAATTCTATTTTTTGAAGGTCTATGCAAAAAATTCTCCAAGTTCCAACTCCATGTACTAGAACATTAATTTACCTACCATATTTGAAATATATGCATTCCAAAAGAGAGTTCCAACGGTAAAAACATTGATTTAGTACTCTTAAACTATAAAAACTAGATCTGGAAGAGTGAAGAAGGCAGAAGAACAAAGCCTTCAAGTTGAAAAACCAAGAGTGTTTAAGTTTACACCTTGTGCTTTGAGAATTTCTCTTACTTTTCTTGTTCTCTTTCATTGTAACAAGTGAGAGAGGGATTGGGAAACCTTGTTAGATTTAGGAATCCATTTTTAATGTATATGATGGATTAAGAGATTTGTAATGAGAGCTTTAAACGATTGATAGCACTAATAAGTTATTATAATTGGTTTCACTAGCACCCATTGAAGGTAGTGTTAGTGGATTAAATCTCGAGCATAGAAAACTCGAGGACAGGACATAGGCAGCAAAGAGGATGACAAACCAGGAAGCGTTTGATATTTCTTACTCTACTCTTTTAATTCTTGCAATTTAGTTTACAATAACTTATTGATTGCTTATGCTTGATCATTGCTTTTCTCAAAAATTGCATAAGTGTTTTTTAAAACCCAATTCACCCCTCTTGGGTTGCCATCTGGGACAACAATTATGCCCATAGAAGGTGAGCAAAAATTGTAGAGGAATAAAAATCTAGGAGAAAGAAAGTGAAAGGCAGAGCAAAACGTTTTATTTTATAATTTAAAAATTAAAAAAGAAATTATATGGCATTTTATCTCATAAATTTGTCTTATAATTTTGTCTACTCTCTCACTACTCTAACTTAAAATTTTTTTAAAATTGAAAAATAATAAAATAATAAAAGAGATAAATTGTTTGAATGAAATCTTGAAACCAAAATGCACATTCAAATATTAATTACACAAAATAAAAGAAAAATCGCTGAAATAGTAGAATAGATATGGCTTTGCCACTTTGGCCCCTTTTTTTTAATTTATAAAAATTATTCAATTTTTCATTTAAGATAAAGGGTCACAAGAGTTTATGATTTAAAGTTCATAATTTTAGGTTACAAAATTTAGGATTTAACTTGAAGAATTCAAAGATTAAGACTTAGATTCAGAGTTAGCATTTGGGTTTATAATTATATAGTTTTGGATTTAAAATTTTGTAGTTGAGTATTAAGAATTTCGAATTTGAAGTTTAGAATTCATAATTTAAAATTTATGATTTAGAGTTTTTGGATTCAGATTTGGCTTGCCATATCATTGGTCCCATTTTTTCATCCTTAACATTCACCCATGTATCATTGTTCAGGTGGAATTTTGTACAATTTTGTTTACTACTCTTTCATTAACCTTAAAAAATCTTAATTTTAATTGAACATTGATTAGTTTATCCTTTAGTTCAACACATTATATGATGAATTTATTAAAAAATCATTATTTTTTAATTTGAAATTAAAGTTAGATGAACTTAAAGATACAATTATGTACACATACAATTATGTATACAGAATGTCAGAATCAGTTAAATTAGTTTTACGTATCTTATATTTCAATGATTAAATCAGATGAGTGTCAAAAGATGCATTGGATTGAAGAGTAATACCAATTATTTTTCATTTTAATTTATTTGTAGCAATGGCGTATGTCTATTTATTTCTTAGGAATATAAGAAGAACCCCATAATTTGACTCCATCATATTCAAGCACGTTACACTAATATTTCAATAATTTGATCATTTATTTATTCACTTTTAATAGTTAAAATTTATTCACTTTAATTTTTATCATATTAATTAAAGACAATTCTAGTGTACCAATTATTTTCCAATTTAATTTTATCTCTTTTAAATTTATTTGTAGCAATAATGTATGTGTATTTATTTATTAAGAATACAATTAGGAGTATCCCATAATTTGATTCCATCATATTCAAGCACGTTACTCTAATATTCTCACAATTTGACCATTCATTTGTTCACTTTTAATAATTAAAATTTATTCACTTTTTATTATTTTATGATAAACTCAATTATTAAAAGTGAAGATAAATGATCAAAATTTT